GCCCCTGGGGCAGTGGTGAGGTTATTTTCACCCAGAAAGGACCTCTGACCCCAGGAGGGCACACACTCCTGGCAAAGGACACTGGGGGCTGCGTTCTCCCGGGGCTGGGATAGTTCAGGGGCGCAGTGACAGCGCATGTGTAGGTACGCTCCATGCTCCGATCCCGTAGCCAGAGGAACTGCGGTCCAGAGAGGCTAAGCCGCCGTCCTGGCTTGCCCACAAAGCCGAACCAAGCTGTGTTACCGCACAGCTCCCGGCTCGTGCCGCTCAGAGACGCCCCCTCAGGGAGCTCCGCACCTGCTGGCCTTCTGCCGTGTTTGGGAGGCGTCTTTACACCTTTGGGCCTCAGCTTCTCCAGCTCATCGGTACCATAGCTAACCCATAAGGTTGACAGGATTTGTCCTTTGGTTTAGGTTCTCCCCCCCGACGCCCCCCCCCAAAGTCCCCAACAAGGGACTGGGGTCTCTGATGGAAGAAACTTGCATAGTAAATTCCTTCCCAGCAGATCTTCCCATCATCTGAAAAGTGTGGTGAGTCTCATTTTGCAACCAGCCTTTCCCCCAGACAATGCGTACCTGTGGCTCTAGGGTTCTCCATGGGCGCCACCTTCTCTAAGGTGTCCCTGAAGGAGATGGCACAGAGGAAAAGCGTCAGCTGCCAAGAAACCAGTAGGGTCATCCTGGTGAGAAGTGCAGGCCCTCGAGGTGCCCTGAGGCCGAGGCAGAGAGAGGGAAGAGGGACGAGGTCAGGCCCCGGTCTGGGCTGGGCGCTGGGGCAGAGCTGGTGTGAGGGGAGGAGACAGCCTCTGCCCTTGGAGACCCCACTGGAGGGCTGAGTCCAAACAGACATGTCATGGACAGGGGCCTGACACCACTGGCACAGGACAGTCAGAGCGGAACTCATTCTAGGCGAGGGTCATCAGGGAGGGCTTCCCAGAGGACACAGAGGAAGGCAGGAAAGATCCCTGTTGGTGGGAGGGGCAGGACGGCTCAGGTTGGAAAGGAGCCAGAATCTCAGGTTTGCCGGAGAGGAATGTTGGAGAGATGAGGGGTGAGGATGCTGTGCAGGAGTGAGCAGGGAGGGGTGAAGTGAAGAGGGCCAAGGAGTTCCACCTCATGGGGGACACGGAGGTGCAGACCTTCTCCCTGGAGCCTGGCACTTCCCTCCATGCTGAGCTCGGCATAAACCCAGACTCTCCGTGCTCCAGTCTCCCTGTTAGCACGTGCCTGCTCAAACCTGGCCCAGCTCCCTCCTGCTGTCATAGAAACGGAATTCTTTCCCTTTCTCATGAGCGAGGAGGGAAGGCAGTCGTCTTGCTCTCTCGTGGCCTTTGACAGCCCGAAGACAGCCATTCAGTGGTCTTACTGCCTCGCATTCAGGGAGGAGAAAGGCCTTCTCCTGACTTGTCGGGTCGAGGGTCTCCTCATTTCATGTTCTGTCAGCTCGGAGGGGGTAGGCATGGACCTGACCTCAGAACGTTGGCTGTTGGGATGGGAGCTGTGTACTCACTCTGACCCTCACTCCAACCTCATTCCCTTTCCCCTCTCCTGCCCTCCCATCTCCTCCAGCTCCCAAGTCTAATTTCTCTTTGAAAAAGTCATCAGACACTTGGAGGTTGTCCAGCAAACATGATTAAAAACAAACTAATGAGAAGGCAGTAGAGCTGCAGGTGGAGCCAAAAGGGTGTGGATGCCAGAGCTAAGGCCCCGAGCCACTGTGGGGTGGAGTGAGGGGCCCACATGTGCCCACCGGCCCCACCAATCCCTCTGTTCACCCCCCACTCCCCATTCCCCCTGCTCCCTCCAGGACCCACGCATGGCGTGGAGGGGAAGAATCCTGAAATGGGATCCGAAATCCTTGGATCTGGCCCCAACTATGCCCGCCCTCCCCACGAGACAGGAGCAAGCCCCCCCCCCCATCTCTGGCCTCAGTGCTCCACCTGTAAAACAGGACCGCTGGGTCCGACTGGCCAGCGAATGTCCCCACAGATGGCCACTTACACTTGCAGACTCTGATCTGTGGAACCCAGACCATGGCCTTCTGCACCTGCCTTAAAGGGCGGGGAGTAGAGGCAGGATCCATTCATGAGAGACGAGTGTGAAACCATTTTTGTGTGGCTTCAGACTGTGGATGCACAGGGTCCAGGTTATTTTGGAAATCATTTCTTGAGTATGGACTGGGTGCTGTGTTAGGTGCTAGGGTGCACAGTGCTAAGACACAGGGGTTAGAGTGCACAGGTGCCGTGACACAGGGGCTAGGGGCTAGGGTGCACAGGTGTGCTAAGACACAGAGTTGCTGCAAGCCCTCAACCCCCATCTCAAGAAACCGGAGTCCTCAGATAAGAAACCGAGTCCTAAGCAGACCACTTAAAAGCAACACTGTGAATGATAGGCTGAAGGTGTGTCAGTATAAAGGGGTCTTTGGGGGCCTAAGGGAGCCAGGCCTGGAGGGTCCAGCTGGGTTTCTGCAGCGGGTGGCACCTGAGCTGAGTTTCTGAGCGAGTCAGGCAGATGCCTGCCAGGAGGGAGGCTCTGCTGGAGAGAGAAAGCGGGGAGTCTAAGGAAGGGCCCCCAGGGGCTTCACCCTGGAGGGGAGGGTCCGAGACGGAGAGGAATGTGTGGAGACTTGCATTTCAGATGGAGCCTTCTGGCTGCTCTGCAGGAGCAGGGTGGGGAGGGAGGGAGGGAGGAGTGGGCAGGCTGTGTACTCCCCTGGCCTCTCCCCACCGCCTCC